ACCAACTGAGCTATTCCAGCCAATCATTCGCTACAATCCAAGACCACCATTAGTTGATATTGTCTGCTTCCGTTCGTTACGTCTTGGTATCTCTCTCACGGTTTTAAACCGAATCTACTATGGATAGGTTTTCAGACCCTTGCAAGAAATGTTTCTTCACCTCTCTAATCGATGTGGGATCTCACTATCGACCCCCTTCTGAGTGCCAAGCGTCCTCACTGGCACATCGCCTAGTGACAAGCTCTGATTTCATTTGTAAAAATCCAAGCCCACTACTACCAGACATTGTTCATCCTTGCCCAGTAGGTATTGCCATGAGCCTCACAGTTTTAAAACGCGCCTATTAGGGAGAGGTTTTCGCACCCTTATTAGGATTGTTTCGTTCCTCTCTCCAACAGCCAGTAGATATTATCTATTTTAATCCGTTACGTATCGTCGTCAGCCTCACAATTTTAAAACGCGTCTACTTGGGAGACGTTTACACACCCGTATACGGAATGATAAATTCCCCTCCTAAAACAATCAAGGAATGCACAACTAGTAGTCAGGATGGTCGAGTGGTCTAAGATGCCAGACTCAAGTTCTGGTCTTCGTAAGAGGGCGTGGGTTCAAATCCCACTTTTGACATCCATCCATGTTATTTTGTTAGGCAAAACTCGTACCAAAGTGGATAATATCTACTACCGGGCTTGTGTCGAACTTTTCAACGCTAAGAAATGGAACTCGTTCCTTGGTGGATATCAATTGTGTACTCAGCACTACTTTACCAGGGAGGAGAAGCACCAAACACAATTATAAGGCATGCTTCATTCACACATCGCTAGAAAGAGGGCTTGGCTTGAACCTCTGACCTTGTGGTTAACAGCCACACACTCTAACCAACTGAGCTATTCCAGCCAATCATTCGCTACAATCCAAGACCACCATTAGTTGATATTGTCTGCTTCCGTTCGTTACGTCTTGGTATCTCTCTCACGGTTTTAAACCGAATCTACTATGGATAGGTTTTCAGACCCTTGCAAGAAATGTTTCTTCACCTCTCTAATCGATGTGGGATCTCACTATCGACCCCCTTCTGAGTGCCAAGCGTCCTCACTGGCACATCGCCTAGTGACAAGCTCTGATTTCATTTGTAAAAATCCAAGCCCACTACTACCAGACATTGTTCATCCTTGCCCAGTAGGTATTGCCATGAGCCTCACAGTTTTAAAACGCGCCTATTAGGGAGAGGTTTTCGCACCCTTATTAGGATTGTTTCGTTCCTCTCTCCAACAGCCAGTAGATATTATCTATTTTAATCCGTTACGTATCGTCGTCAGCCTCACAGTTTTTAAACGCGTCTACTTGGGAGACGTTTACACACCCATATACGGAATGATAAATTCCCCTCCCAAACCAATCCAGGAATGCACAATTAGTAGTCAGGATGGCCGAGTGGTTTAAGGCGCCAGACTTAAGTTCTGGTCCTCGTAAGAGGGCGTGGGTTCAAATCCCACTTCTGACATCGATCCTTGTTTATTGTTAGGCAAAACTCGTGCCAAAGTTGATAATATCTACTAACAACCGTTACGGGATTGTGTTGAAATTTTCAACGCTAAGAAATGGAACTGGTTCCGTGGTGGATATTAATTGTGTACTCAACACTACTTTTTAAAAGTGTCAAAACATGATTGTTTAGTTAGTTCTCGAGACCATCACAAATCGATGTTGATTGAAAATTTTTACCAGGGAGGAGAAGCATCAAACACAATTATAGGGCATGCTTCATTCTCACATCGCTAAAAGGAGAGCTTAAACCTCCAACCTTGTGGTTAACAGCCACACGCTCTAACCAACTGAGCTATTCCAGCCAATCATTTGCTACAATCCAAGACCACACTACTTTTTAAAAGTGTCAAAACATGATTGTTTAGTTAGTTGTCGAGACCATCACAAATCGATGTTGATTGAAAATTTTTACCAGGGAGGAGAAGCATCAAACACAATTATAGGGCATGCTTCATTCTCACATCGCTAAAAGGAGAGCTTAAACCTCCAACCTTGTGGTTAACAGCCACACGCTCTAACCAACTGAGCTATTCCAGCCAATCATTTGCTACAATCCAAGACCACCGTTAGTTGATATTTTCTGCTTTCGTTCGTTATGTCTCGGTATCTCCCTCACGGTTTTAAACCGAATCTACTATGGATAGGTTTTCAGACCCTTGCAAGAAATGTTTCTTCACCTCTCTAATCGATGTGGGATCTCACTATCGACCCCTCGTGAGTGCCAAGAGTCCTCACTGGCACATCGCCTAGTGACTAGCTCTGAGTTCATTTGTAAAAGTCCAAGCCCACTGCCAGCAGACATTGTTCATCCTTGCCCAGTACGTATTGCCATGAGCCTCACAGTTTTAAAACGCGCCTATTAGGGAGAGGTTTTCGCACCCTTATTAGGATTGTTTCGTTCCTCTCTCCAACAGCCAGTAGATATTATCTATTTTAATCCGTTACGTATCGTCGTCAGCCTCACAGTTTTTAAACGCGTCTACTTGGGAGACGTTTACACACCCATATACGGAATGATAAATTCCCCTCCCAAACCAATCCAGGAATGCACAATTAGTAGTCAGGATGGCCGAGTGGTTTAAGGCGCCAGACTTAAGTTCTGGTCCTCGTAAGAGGGCGTGGGTTCAAATCCCACTTCTGACATCGATCCTTGTTTATTGTTAGGCAAAACTCGTGCCAAAGTTGATAATATCTACTAACAACCGTTACGGGATTGTGTTGAAATTTTCAACGCTAAGAAATGGAACTGGTTCCGTGGTGGATATTAATTGTGTACTCAACACTACTTTTTAAAAGTGTCAAAACATGATTGTTTAGTTAGTTCTCGAGACCATCACAAATCGATGTTGATTGAAAATTTTTACCAGGGAGGAGAAGCATCAAACACAATTATAGGGCATGCTTCATTCTCACATCGCTAAAAGGAGAGCTTAAACCTCCAACCTTGTGGTTAACAGCCACACGCTCTAACCAACTGAGCTATTCCAGCCAATCATTTGCTACAATCCAAGACCACCGTTAGTTGATATTTTCTGCTTTCGTTCGTTATGTCTCGGTATCTCCCTCACGGTTTTAAACCGAATCTACTATGGATAGGTTTTCAGACCCTTGCAAGAAATGTTTCTTCACCTCTCTAATCGATGTGGGATCTCACTATCGACCCCTCGTGAGTGCCAAGAGTCCTCACTGGCACATCGCCTTGTGACTAGCTCTGAGTTCATTTGTAAAAGTCCAAGCCCACTGCCAGCAGACATTGTTCATCCTTGCCCAGTACGTATTGCCATGAGCCTCACAGTTTTAAAACGCGCCTATTAGGGAGAGGTTTTCGCACCCTTATTAGGATTGTTCCGTTCCTCTCTCCAACAGCCAGTAGATATTATCTATTTTAATCTGTTACGTATCATCGTCAGCCTCACAATTTTAAAACGCGTCTACCTGGGAGACGTTTACACACCCATATATGGAATGATAAATTCCCCTCCCAAAACAATCAAGGAATGCACAATTTATTGTCAGGATGGTAGAGTGGTTTAAGGCGCTAAACTCAAGTTTTGGTCCTCGTAAGAGGGCGTGGGTTCAAATCCCACTTTTTACATCCATCCATGTTATTTTGTTAGGACAAACTCGTACCAAAGTGGATAATATATACTACCGGGCTTGTGTCGAACTTTTCAACGCTAAGAAATGGAACTTACTTTTTAAAAGTGTCAAAATATGATTGTTTAATTAGTTCTCGTATACGAGACCAACACAAATCGATGTTGATTCACACATCGCTAGAAGGAGGACTTGAACCTCCGACCTTGTGGTTAACAGCCACACGCTCTAACCAACTAAGCTATTCCAGCCAATCATTTGCTACAATCTGAGACCACTGTTAGTTGATATTGTCTGCTTTCGTTCGTTACATCTCGGTATCTCCCTCACGGTTTTAAACCGAATCTACTATGGATAGGTTTTCAAACCCTTGCAATAAATGTTTCTTCACCTCTCTAATCGATGTGGGATCTCACTATCGACCCCTTCTGAGTACCAAGCGTCCTCACTGGCACATCGCCTAGTGACTAGCTCTGATTTCATTTGTAAAAGTCCAAGCCCACAACCAGCAGACATTGTTCATCCTTGCCCAGTAGGTATTGCCATGAGTCTCACAGATTTAAAACGCGCCTATTTGGAAGAGGTTTTCGCACCCTTATTAGGATTGTTTCGTTCCTCTCTCCAACAGCTAGTAGATATTATCTATTTTAATCCGTTACGTATCGTCGTCAGCCTCACAGTTTTTAAACGCGTCTACTTGGGAGATGTTTACACACCCATATATGGAATGATAAATTCCTCTCCCAAACTAATCTAGGAATGCACAATTAGTGGTCAGGATGGCTGAGTGGTCTAAGGCGACAGACTCAAGTTCTGGTCCACGTAAGAGGGCGTGGGTTCAAATCCCACTTCTGACATCCATCATCCATGTTTATTGTTAGGCAAAACTCGTGCCAAAGTGGATAATATCTACTAACAACTGTTACGGGATTGTGTTGAAATTTTCAACGATAAAAAAATGGAACTATTTCCGTGGTGATTGTCAAAACATGATTGTTTAGTTAGTTCTCGTGAGACCTTCCCAGCTTGTTTCCTCTATAGGGAGATTCTTCCATTTGATAAGGAATTCACGAATCGTTCGTACAGGTCTTCCTATCTTCCTAACCCTGTCGACTAGGATCTCTTCCACTTCCTTTGTTTCTTTTTGCTGCAGATCAATGTTCGGTCTTGTGGTTGCATTTCATTGGTCGTCGTCTGGATCAGGGTGATAGGGCTTCAAGTTGCTCACATGAATGACGGGGTGGATTTTCATCCATGTGGGTAGTGCAACTCGGTAGGAGGTAGCCCCGATCTTTTTAAGGACTTCAACCGGGTCTTCATATTTACGAACTAGTCTCTGGTCCTTTCGGCTACGAAATCTGATCTTCTAGAATAAGGACCCCACTTAGAGCAAAGTCGGAAGCATCGGTTTTTACTTCAAATGGCTTTGTGACGTCTACCAACCCGAGGACAGGACCCCTCGTCATGGTTGTTTTCAGATTTTCGAAGGCCATTTGACAATCATTTGACCACGACCAAGGGTGGTCTTTCTTCAACAGCTCTGTCAATGGGGCGGCTCGTCGTGAAAACCCTTCGCCGAACCGCCTATAGTAGTTGGCTAGTCCTAAGAAGGACCGCAACTCAGATACGGAAGTAGGAACCTTCCATTCTTGGATAGCTTTTATCTTGTCGCTATCCATACTAATTTGTCCACATCTGACGACATGTCCATGGAAGTTGATGCATGTTTGTGTGAATGCACATTTCTCCTTCTTCACATACAGCTGGTTTTGCCGGAGCTTGTCAAACACTAGCTTTAAGTGCACTTTGTGTTTCTCGAGGGTTGTGCTGTAAACAACAATGTCGTCGAGGTATACTATGACGAACTGATCCAGGTATTCGTAGAAAACTTGGTTCATCAACGTGCAGAACGTAGCTGGGGTGTTTGTCAAGTCAAAGGGCATTACTAGGAATTCAAAGGCCTTATATCTTGTTACGCATGTCGTCTTGGGTTCGTCCCCTTCGGCAATACGTACTTGATAATATCCTGATTGTAAGTCCAACTTCGTGAAGTACTTGGCCCCGTGAAGTTGGTCGAACAAGTCGGATATTATCGGCAGAGGATATTTGTTGCGTACCGTCACCTTGTTTAAGGCTCTATAGTCTATGCACAGACGCAACGTCCCATCCTTCTTCTTTTGGAACAGTACGGGGGCTCCATAAGGTGCCTTTGTCGGGCGAATGAATCCCGCCTTCAGCAACTCGTCCAGTTG